GCCCAGAAGGCCAACCGTACCCTAGGCTGCATCAGGAGAAGCGTGGCCAGCAGGTTGAGGGAGGTGATTCTGTCCCTCTGCTCTGCTCTGGTGAGACCTCACCTAGAGTACTGCATCCAGCTCTGGAGCCCGCAGCACAGGAAGGACATAGACCTGTTGGAGCGGGTCCAGAGGAGGCCACAGAAATGATCCAAAGGCTGGAGCACCTCTCCTATGAGGACAGGCTGAGAGAGCTGGGCTTGTTCAGCCTGGAGAAGAGAAGGCTGCGGGGAGACCTGCTTGTGGCCTTTCAGTACTTAAAGGGGGTCTGTAGGAAAGATAGGGACAAACTTTTTAGCAGGGCTTACTGTGACAGGACAAGGGGTAGTGATTTTTAACTAAAGGAGGGTAGATTCAGACTGGATATAAGGAAGAAATTCTTTACAATGAGGGTGGTGAAACACTGGAGGGGGTTGCCCAGAGAGGTGGCGGAGGCCCCATCCCTGGAAACATTCAAGGCCAGGTTGGACGGGGCTCTGAGCAACCTGATCCAGTTGAACATGTCCCTGCTCACTGCAGGGGGGTTGGACTAGATGACCTCTAAAGGTTGCTTCCAACCCAAACCATTCTGTGATTCTATGATTCAGAGTCAGTCATCAGAGCAATCTGTTTGCCCACATGGCTTATGGCTCTGTCCCACAGGGACTTGCTTTTGGCAGTGGTTTCCTACTGCTTCAGTTACCACTGAAACAGGTTGTTTAATTGCTCCTTCTGCCTGGTGTCTATGAAAGCCAGTCATCGCAGCCCCAGACTTCAGGTAGATCCCTGCCTGAGCCACGGAGGGATCAGCCCAATACCTCCTGCAGATTAACAAGCAGATGAGTACAAAAACTTACCACCTCACATTTCCTGTTTATTGTGAGAAGCACATTTAAATATACTTCCCGATACTGACAACAGTTGTAAAACCAAAGCACAGGACCCCAAAGAGAAGATTTTGCTTCCCTGTCTGTAATTTGTTGTCTTTTCCATTTGCTGGCTGCGGGATCCGATGCAGCCGTGTTGGCCTGGAAAGGTCCTTAAACAACACCCACTGCATTTCCCTGCTCTACAAGAGTATGATACACAGCTACTTTTACCTGTTGGTCTTGTTTGTTCTTTAAAACGCCCAGTGAATGTTGCATTGCTTCATTACCCAGAAAGTTTTTGAAGTACGTAACACAAACCTGCTGCTAAACTCAGTGCTGCTTGCCTTACCCTCAAGGGGAAGGGAAGGACATGGGCCATTACCCTCCTTTTCTTTTGCATATTAGAAAATCATAACTGTGTCCTCTTTCTATTTTCTGGAGAAAAAAGCAAGTCTACTTTCTTGTTTCCTATAGGCTGAACCTTCCACTTGAGTTGTGACCCTCCTGAGCATGTTTTTGCCAGTGCCGCACACCCAAACACTGTAGCTGAGCCTCACTCATGCTGACAACTGAACAGCTGAGAGGAAAATTACCCCAAGCGCTTCATACGCAGTGCTATGATAAAGATAAATCCCCAAAAGGGATTTTCCCTCTTTTTTTTCTTCTCCTTCCCTGCCTCCCCTTGCACCTACTCCTTTGGTTCCCACTGGACCCCCCAGAGCCCTTTCCGTGGGATGGTTGCCCGCCTTCTCCTCCCCTGCTTATGCTGCTGCTTGAGCTCCTTGAGTGTTTTGCACCTGTGTTTACTTTATTTCAATACTTTGATTCCTATCAGTTTTTCATAGGTTTTAACCATCAGTGGAAGCGCTCGTGTTCCCTTTCATCGTGGCCGTCACCCATAGTTTGAGAGCTCTTGCCTACCATTCATTTTCCAACCACAAATTTGAGAAAAACCAATGTAGGACAGACATCAGAAGCTGCTGATGACTAGTGCTTTCTGTACTTAATCTTAAGGCCCTTCACATATGAGGGCACTTCATATTGCTGCCGAAAGCCTTGTGGAGCTCATGATATGGCCCAACCACGGCTTCTCTTTTGGCCACTTCCCCACTGAGATAAGGACTTTGGTTGGTCAGAGGTGGGTTTTCCCTGCCAGGCCAGGCTGCCAGAGCCCTCCTGACTGTATCTTGCTGCTTTGTCATCCCCCAGGTGCTCGCAAAGCAATCATTCAATCCTTACTCTAGCATCTTCCTCGGTGTTGCAGCCAGGTGTCCTGGTCTGTGATTCCCCAGACCTTTCTTTCCCTTCTGATTCAGCTTTCCTCTTTCCTTACCTGTGCTTCAGCTTTTTCTGATATGTTACTTGGTATTCGATCATTTGCTTTGCAAGCTGCCTGTTGGGTTTTTTTAACAGGCCACGGGTCAAAAGGGTGACCAAGAGTATGACCGCAGCAGCCCTGGGTGCACCAGCCAGACGAGTAACTTCCAGTAACACGGACACGGGTGACCAGGAAAAGATTGGAGGGGAAAAGCAATCTCAACTCCATGTTTTTTAGGAAAGCTTTTGCTCAAAACTTAAGGCAGTGTGCCAGTGTTAAACTTTCCTTAATTATTTACTCCTTCCTGCCAATTTATCGAGCAATTATATTTCAACTCATTTTCCACAGAGATTTTCCTTACTCGCTACGAAGTGCTGATACCCTAAAATAATAGTGCCACAAAACATGGAATGCCCATAATCAGGACTTTCAAATAGACTTAAAAAATAAATAATCCTTTGTGGCAATGCTGCACAAGCCAGCAGGCAGGTCTGCCTTGCTACCATAACATGAAGCAGCAGCTTCACAGGTAATGCCTGCAGAAATTGGACTCCTGAGGGGCATACAGACCTGCAGGGATGGCAACACCAGTACTGGTGACAGGGAGCCTGCTGGTAGCAATTAAGGGTGACATGAAGGGAATCAAAGAAAGCTCCACTCTTGTTCACTCTCCAAACTCAAAAAACAACTTTATACACACAGACAGCAATGAGATTCCCTGCTCAATTTGAAGTTTATATGGGTCTAACAAAAAAATGCATTCATAGGTTTTACATAAGAGGTTTGTATAACAGAGAGGTTTATATAACATAATGCAGCAAAGACAGGGGTCTGTAATGGGACCGGTGCTGTTTAATATATTCATCAATGACATAGACAGCAAGATTGAGTGCACCTTCAGCAAGTTTGCAGATGACACCAGGCTGAGTGGTGCAGTTGACACACCAGAAGGACAGAATGTCATCCAGAGAGACCTGGACAGGCTGGAGAGGTGGGCCTGTGTAAACCTCATGAGGTTCAACAAGGCCAAGTGCAAGGTCCTGCACCTGGGTTGGGGTAACCCCCGGTATCAATACAGGCTGGGGGAAGAAAGGACCAAGAGCAGCCCTGCGGAGAAGGACTTGGGGGTGCTGGTGGATGAAAAGCTGGACATGAGCCAGCAATGTGCGCTGGCAGCCCAGAAGGCCAACCGTACCCTAGGCTGCATCAGGAGAAGTGTGGCCAGCAGGTCGAGGGGGGCGGTTTCTGCCCTCAGGCTGCGGGGAGACCTGCTTGTGGCCTTTCAGTACTTAAAGGGGGCCTATAGGAAAGATAGGGACAATCTTTTTAGTAGGGCCAGCTGTGACAGGACAAGGGGTAGTGATTTTTAACTAAAGGAGGGTAGATTCAGACTGGATATAAGGAAGAAATTCTTTACAATGAGGGTGGTGAAACACTGGAGGGGGTTGCCCAGAGAGGTGGCGGAGGCCCCATCCCTGGAAACATTCAAGGCCAGGCTGGACAGGGCTCTGAGCAACCTGATTGAGCTCACTGCAGTGGGCAAGTTGGACTAGATGACCTCTAGGGTTCCCTTCCAACACAAAACATTTGTGATTCTATTTCTAGTAGAGGGGATCAAACCATGTGATATGTTTCACAAGTTTGTATTACAAAGTTATGATCTTACTAAAATTATCTTAATATAATGCAGAATTCACTAAAGACTAAATAATATATAGTTTAATAACTCTGGTTGCTCAGCACTGAACTGTTTTCTGTAGTCTTTAAAAAAAAAAAAATCAGTATCATTAGAGGTGTCCTACAGCTCCCTCTGGTCTCCAGAGATGGTAAAATGAGTTTGCTTGCAAATACTTTAATCTCACACAGTCCTTGCTGTGTCGGTAAACAGATGAGTGACTGGCAAGACTAGGAGCACAGCGTTAAAATTGCTCTGCTGGCAAAAGCTATCTCCAAACCTGCTCTCACACTGCCTGTGTCAACCCTGCTCGACAGCCCAGGAACATGTGCAGTGTAGCCCCATGCTGCCAGGTGGGGACCACCAGACACATCGCTTCTGCAACCACAGTGGTGACAGCCGGCAGAAAGGTGCCCTGCTGCCTCCAAAATGCTCTTTCAAAAGGCTAAATGTGAACATCCTTATTCCCCTGTTTGCAGGTTTGGGGACAGCAGCCGGACTCGGGCTGCCTCATACCCTGCCGCCCAGCCCAGCTCTTCTCACCCACCCCAGTCTGCAACTCCATTTTCCTCCCCCTGTTCTCAAATGGAGTTTTAGACCCATTCCATGATGACCAAACTGGATTATTTACTCAAGTTGTAGGTTGCTGCCCAGCAGGCCCCATGAAAAAAAAAACAACATCTGGATTCAACATTTATCTTTATTTTCTCTCTTATTTCAGTATTATTCTCAGTAAACCTAAATTTGCACCCAGACCCATCCACATTGAAGAACACTTTCAAACAGAGCTTTATAAACCCAGAGCTAATTCTCTCCCAATTAGAAGTTGGGATTTCTGGCAGAGGGACAGATGCTGAAAATGTTTTTAAACTTGCAGGAAACCCAGCATAAAGGTGCCAAAGCTAAAGCAGGAAAGATTGTGGGTTTTTTTACCAACACTATCATTGTGATACAGCTTCTGGGCAGGGTACATATGGGGCTGGCTCCTGCTCAGAGGGCTGCTCTCTAATGGAAAGGTGTTTTGCATGCCTGCTATGGCACTTGCTGTACTTCCCATCTAGAGGCA